ATAGCCCCTTCTGCCTGACATGCATTTCCCTCCTTGTCTATGAGAATACAGTTAACTTTCAGGATATACTGAAAGATCTATCTTTCAACTCATGTCAACTCATATCTGTGGGAAAATTCAATCACAGGTCCCTCTTTTATTTTTATTTTTATTTTTTCAGCATGTGTCTTCCAGGGTCATGTAGATCTTCCTCTGGCAGCATTTCTTGGTTCAGGCTTTCAAGTTTGCTGATGATATGACCTTTAGGAACCATTGCCCTGCAATACAGTAAGGTCGGGTGTATTCTGGTTGAAACTGGGTGTTTGGACAGTTGCTGAAAGCTTTCTGAACTTCCTAAGTCAAAGTACAGATGATAGAGGAATGACATTTTCTAATGCTTGGTTTGCCAAATGACCTTTTGCATCTACAGAATATTAAAGTACGAGGATAATCTTTCAAAACTACAACTGAAAAATATCAAATGTGGTCCTAAAATATTATTTTTTAAAATTTCATGTGAAGCCATTATTTAAAAAAAAAAAATAAACTGCCAGGGGCTTTGATGGAAATTAATGGAAATGAGGCTGTACTTTCCTGGAAAGTTACCTAAAAAGCAGTACAGTATTTTTGGCCTTGTTCTTACAAAGATGTGTGCATTGGCTTAGCCCTATGCCACTAAAGCTCATACTACATGCATAAATCTTTGTAAAAGACTCATCTAAACACAATTAGTTGTGATACCACTGTAAATTACAAAACTTTTCTGTAACTAAGAAACCATACATACCAGTAAATCAAAACATTTCAAGTATTTATTATTTGCTGGAAAAAATAATGTTAGTTACTTAAACTGGGTTGAAATGTGATTTATGAAACTATGTTTTAGATCTGTGTGTGGTCCTCCTTCCCCTCCACACAAATAATAAATACGTGGATATTTGTCAAATGTTTTATGACACCAACTGTTATTCTCTATTATGTACACAGTTGCTTACAGAAAAAACTGACATGAACTGCATCTTCCACAATCTGTTCAGAGAAGACAGTTTTCACGTACGATGCCATCTAATTTTTGAAAACAATTAATAGGCCAGAGCTAGGAAACAGCTACTATTTCTTGGATGTTTTTAATGCATTAGAAGTATTAACAAGCTGGAAAACAAGCAATCACATTTTACGGTTCATTAACCATTTCTCCTGTTTTTCTTGGAGATGGAACATCATGCAAGAAACAATGCCAAGAATAATAGGAGTATTTGCACACTGAATCAGTACATAAAACTACAAGCTTGTCAGTTATATTCCAGGCATGACTGATGCTGTGACTGGAGAACCTGCCCCGCCAGTTGCTGGTCATCAATGTCTCTTTTATTTTTCAAAGAGAGTAAATAAAAAGAATTGCTATTAGGAACAACAGGTGAAATTCACTCAAACTGATTTGGGAAAAGCTAAATTATGGTTTTCCAGACAACTATTTGTCTGTATTTATGAAGCTTCACCCCATGATGTGTGGGGTGTTTTCATTGTTAAGGGGGAGCAGCTGCCAGCCAGGTCTCATTTTGGGCCAGAGCAAGTTTAACATGATTGGAACCCTGAGATGAGTGAAATAATGTACAAATTCAAGTGAGTGGTCTTTGGCTGTACTGCTCAAATAAAAATAATTCCCAGGATCCTGAAAATGGTAAAATATTGGGACGGATTTTTTTACTGGTGATTATGTATTATATGTCATATTATACATGACAATTTATACCAATGATTTAATCCTGAAAAAAAATATGCCCATCATACATATTACTACAATTCCTACTAGCACATCTTGAGAAGTAGGTTTTTTGTTTTTTTTTTTTTATTACAACTTCGGTCTCCCTCCCACACATGATCACACAGTTGTTTTCAGGACTGCGCCTGGCTGGGTTTAGAATAAGTCATTGCATTATTATTTGGGTGGGGAGGGAAGGAGGAAATGAGGACCACACACAGATCTAAGGCATACTTTGATAAATCAGATTTCTATCCAGTTTACATTACTGACTGCTTTTTTTTCTCTTTTTTTCCCCCAGCAAACAATAAATACTTGAACTGTTTTAACTTACTGATACATAGCGTTTCTTCGTTACGGGGAAGCTTTATAACCTGTAATGACATCACAACTTCCTTGTAAACAGGAAGGTTGAATCTCTTTTCCTGTGATACTTGTGCGGCTTCTGGATGGACATCATGAAGTGCCTCTCAGTCTGAGCTAATGTACACTCACATGAGCTTTAAAGCACGCAAGGGCCGGCAGTGCCATTAATGCACAAGGCGCACTGGACTGCATAGAAAGTGGCTCTGGCACCCAGGGAGAGTTAAAGCTCCCCGTAAGTATTGGGTTCAGCAGAGTAAGCTGGTGTGGCCAGCACTGCTAGGTGCCAAAGGATGCCCGCAACTCAGAGGTGTCAGGCACCCCCTCTATGCCCCCAAGGTGTGCTCATGCCCACAGAGTGTTCAGCTCACACCTCTAAGCTCACACTTCTTCTGCAGAAATAAGAGGCATAGATTTCCCTGCCTCCTCCCTCAGTTTGTGGGGGTTCACTTCTTTAGTGTCTTGGGGACAGCACGTTGGAGATTACAATACTGGGGTGGACTGGTTTTGAACACAGCCACTGAGTCGTTTCTGATGAGTGGGATATATGAAGAGAGGAATGCAAGTTTTACAGGTCAAGGAAGAAGAGAAAATTGTCAAAAGGAAAAAAAAAAACCAACCAAACAACAACAACAAAAAAAAAAAAACAACCCAAACCAGCTGTGTTTGTTTGAAGTCAGAGGTGTGGCTGGGAAGACAGACTATTGTGTTCTGGGACAGTGGGTGTTTCCAATATCTTCCTGCCATGGTCTACCTCTGAAATACTTAGAAAAAGCAAGGCTGACACATTAACAAAGGTCAAACAGTGTCTGCTAGAGTGTTGGAGAAGGGAGTATTTGTTGTGATGAGCCATTAGCATCGCAAGTATTGAGCTGGTCAGTTATCAATGAGCATCTTCAGCCACAGGAAAATGCACAATTAGCACAAATTGTTGACAGTATTTTCCTTTGCTTGTCAGCATAGCATCTCTCTTGTTCAAGTACAGCCGTAAGACAGCTGTTCTTCCATAAGCTAGTTTGAAGATATTATTCTATTTGCATGAGAGTCATACAGTTAAATATGGCAAGTTAGGCAAAGCCCTACATCATCTCCACATGGCTGGTACCATTTTCTCTGACCTGGATCTTGTACCTGACTGAAGATACAGAAAAAGGACAGTGACATCTTAGGACTCTCCAGGTGAAGCAACTAGCAGTCGTGGGGTCATTGATCCTCTGCTCTGCAGAGCCTTCTCAAGAGGACTCACAGAATTTTCCTGAGCTACTACATGTCTTTGCCACTTTAAGTTGGGATTCAAGATTCAGTTTCTGAAAGCCTTGCCCTCCTTTGAAACAATAGGTTTTAAAATGAGAAAATACTACGACAATCTATTGTCCCTAAAGGAACAAAAGTTTCTGCATAACATGCCATCCTTAAACACAATCATCCATTATTCACCTGCCAACAACTGCAACTATCAACCCGTTCAGTGTTCCACACATGGAGAAGACAGGCACAGATCTTCATTTCAGATTAGAGCAGTTAAAGGTTTGCATGTTTTGTGTCAGTGAAATCAGGAGGCACAGATGCACGATGTAAAGAGGATAGTTTAAAAAAGATTTTTAAAAGAGGTAAAAGGTCTTGGTTAACAAGGACAGAAGTGATGAGCTAGTAAATTTTTTTTTTTTTTGGCTTTACAGACCATAAATTCAACTGATAACTATTTTAACTGAAGTAACCCTAACATAGTAAAAACACTATGTGAAATTATTACATTTGGATTTTACATTTTGCCAGAATGAATACTAAACAAGCATATGAAAATGAGTCCACGTTGACTTCCTAAGTGTTTGGCGTTTAGGAGCGTGGCTCACGTGTTGCTGACGGTCCGGGGCTGCAGGCCAACAGCGGGTAACCTGCTTTCCCCTGGGCCGGGCTGCATCCCGGCACCACGGCTGCTGTGAGGGGAACTGCTGACCCTCCTGCGGGCCGTTGGCGAGGATCGCCTTTGGGTTGATGACCTCGGTCCCAGAGACGCCCCGAAAAACTGCTGGGAGGAAAGGCTCGGGAGCCACAAGCGTGCCCTTCGCTGGGACCGACCCAGCCCTCCCCCCTGGCCTCCGAGGTGCTGCTGGGCCTGGGAGGGTGACATGTACAGCATCACTGCTGGCAGGGGAGCAATAAAGGCGAATCTTGCCTCTGCAAACAAGGGGCTCTTGGCCCTTCACGTCGGGGGAAGAAATAGAGGGAACGGGGCGAGCTGCTTCCCTGCTAAGGTGCCGCGGATGATGCGCTGGGGCTCCCGCCGCGGATCCGCCGCCCCTGGGGAGAAACCGGGGTGCCGCTGAGCACCGGGACCCCAGTCCCCAGAGCGGGGGGGGGGGGGGGGGGGGGTGGCAGGGGCACGGCAAAGGTGGGCACGGCGGGGCGTGGGCCGTGGCGAGGCGGGTCACCCAGCCGCGTGGGGTGGGGGTCGGGGGAGGGAGGGGGGGGGGGAAAGGGGGGGTTTGCCCCCTTTGCACCCGCCCGGCGGCTGCGCTGGGTCTCTCGGTGCCCGCGGGTCTGCCCTGCGGCGCGGCGAGGGCCGGTCCCACGCAGCGCCCGGAGTCCCGGGGGTGGCGGCAAGCGCAGGCGGTCGGTACTTGCAGATTAAAAGCCAACCGGCTAAAAGAGAAACAACAAAAAGGAGAAAAAAAGGCGCCAGACGAGGGCCGGGGCGAGCGAGGGGGCGCCGTGAGGCGGGGGGGGGGGGGGAGCCCCCCGCAGGACCGCCGGGGAGGTGGGGGGGGGTGGGCAGGGGCCGGTTCGCTGCGGAACCGGCGCGGCGACTGCACCGGGCGGGGGGCGGGGCCGGCACCTTCCCCGCCGCAGCGCGGCCCCGCCCCCCTCCCCCCCCCCCCCCCCGCGGCGGCGCGCGGCACCCGCTGCCCCGCCGCGCGGCTCTGGCTGCGCCGCCCCGCCATGGAGCAGGGGCCGGCGGGGGGGCCCGCCGCGGGCACCGGCACCGGCACCGGCAGCGGGGGTCTGCTCCTGCCGCTGAGCGAGAGCGAGCAGCAGCGCTACTCCGAGCTTTTCTCGCGGTGCTGCCCGCCCCCCGAGGCGGCCGCCGGGGGCAGCAGCGTGGGCGAGCTGTTCCGGGCCTCCCAGCTGCCCCCGGACACGCTGCACCAGGTGGGTCGCGGGGGGGGGGCGGTGTGGGGGGGTGTGTGCGGCGGCCGCCTCGGCCCCGGGGTTGCGGGGGGACGCGGGACGGGACGGGAGCCGCTCCCTCAGCCCTGCGGGAGAGGGGCCGGCGCTGCCTCTCGGTGGAAAGTTAGGGGCTGCGCGGCGGGCCGGTGCCCCGACGGCCCTGCCCGGCCCCCGGGGCCGGAACGAGCGGCGGCGGCTGGGGCGGGCGGCGGAGCGGCGCGGTGCCGGCGTCGGAACGCCGCTGCAGCGGGGCACGTCTCCCTCCCTCCCTCCCTCCCTCCCTCCCTCCCTCCCTCCCTCCCTCCCTCCCTCCCTCCCGGCAGCGGCGGGGGGTGGCGGTGTCCGGGGCTGCTCCGTGCCCCCCGGTGCGCTTTCGGACGAGCCGCTAATGCTGCCGGTACTCGGCGGTCGGTCGCGTTTCGCCGTCCTGCCGGAGCCGGGCAGTGCCGCCGGCCGCCCCTGCCTAGGCGGGGGGGGGGTCCCCGGGCTCGGCGGGGGCCGGGGCGGGCGGCTCACGGCGGTAACTCCCTCAGAAGGGCCCGCGAACGCCGGCGGGGCGGTTGGCGTTCGCGGGGCTGCAAAGGACGCGCGATGCGTCTGATTCTCGGCGGAACGCTGGTATTATTTTTAAAGCGGTGTTTCAGTGGGGGGGGGAAAAGAAAATAAATCTGTAGGTAAAACGATGTTGCAGTGTTTTCTGTGTTTGTTCTTGAGAGCAAATACATTTAGGTAGGCAGTCAGAGCCGTCAGGGCCGCAGGGTCCCAGAAGAGGTCCCCAGCAGAGGCTCTGAGGTAAAACCTTCCTTAGTTTTGAGCAGGAGCTCGGTCAGGGTGGGAGAAGGCTGGTGCCGTCCCGTTTCCAGCGACACGGAGGAACTGGAGTCCTGGTCTTCTCCACCTCTGGACTAGTAATTTCAGTAACGTGCTGTAGTTGCATAATAATTCTGACAATAAACTAGAGAGAAGCAGGGTGTTCTTGTTGGTTTTATTTTGTTTAGTTTACGGGAATTCTGTTCTTCAGTAGTCGTTATTTATCAAGCAGGAAAAAAGCAATGTTGAAACTGAGCTGAAGTATAGTTATACCTGGGCACCGCCTGAGGGTACGAAACTCCTCTACTGCCTGACAGCTAGCTGTCAGGTCATCTCGTAATAACTTGTATAAGTTCATATTACACAGGTGATTCTGAACGAAAATGATGATATTTCAAGGATATGTTTTCTCTCTTACTTGCGCCATTTACCGGATCTGTAAAACGAAAATGTTGCCAAGCACTGTAGTACTGCTACATTTTGAGCCACGCTGTGGCCTTGGTTTTGGAGGTGAATTGAGTGGTGAAAGTAGAGATTTTTGCATAGATCTAGCACCAGGAGTAGGTCTTTTGCAAAGAGGAAAGAGGGGTCATTTAACTTCAAATAAGAAGGCATACTTAAGAAATGTGCTAAAGCCCCATTAGTAAATTTATGTGACTTTGGTATTAGTCATGTTGTTTTCCAAAGAAGTGTGGGAGAAAACATCTTATTTTTGCTATGTAGTTCTTTATCCTATCATTTAGGTGAAATTTATTATAGTCTGTTTTGGGTGGTCATTTCGATAGTAATATGTGACTTAAGCCTGGAGATGTTGGGGGGTTTTAATGTTCTTGTTGTTTTTTACTACTTTAGATGATTTCCAAGTCTATTTATGATGTGAGGAGAATGTTATTGGGAAACAAGGCAGTAACTGGCTTCAGGAATATTCAGATAATAAGGCCTGTGGGATCTGGGGCTGTTTCTTTTCCTCCTTCCTGCCCTCCTCCTCTTCTTTATATGGCATTAATCACAGTAGCATTCTGCTCTATGGCTAGAGCACCTGTCCTCAAAACCTACCACTGTCAGGTATTCTTACTAACATTTACAGGAAGTTAAGAAAAAAAATGAATTCATGTGATGTGTTTGAAAAAATAAAGTTGGAAATGGTGCTTTGATATGGAAAACCCCACAACTTAGAGATTTTTGCTGATATTTTGGTTTTTTGTCATTCTCAAAAAATGCAATCTAATAGTTTCTGTTTAAAAACCCCTACCATTCTAACAATTATGGGAACAAGGCACAGAGGTTCATGGTATATGTTTTCTGCTAGTGCAGGGAACACCCATTTTAGGCAGAGGCAGCTCATTTGGGTTAAGGTGTTTTCTTTGAAATAATTGTTGACCATGAAAGTTCTGTTATGTGTTTTGTTTTTAATGCTTTTTAAAATCCCCATCTGTCACAATTGGTGCTTAGTATGCAGGCATCCCTACTGACCGACTGAGAAATGGTCATGCTGAGTTTTGCCATGTCAGAAATTGAGAGATTTCTATTGGAAACCAGTTCTGGATTTCTACTGTCCACAGCCCAGAAGGTACTTAACACCGTTCCCTGGCCCTTGCGTGGGCTGCAACAAGAGGCAGCTATGGTCCATTTTGTAAGCAATGTGAAATTTACAGCTTTTTATTCTCAGAGTGTTCATTGAGGAGCGGTTTTACAGATCAGTTGGCTTCCAGAACTGGCATTTAGTGCCATGGCAAAGTCTTTAACCTGTGCTATTGTCTTCAGGGCTTTGTACTTGTATAATAAATGGGATAAACCTTTGACAAAGAAGTCATCTTTCCTTATATGGTCTTTGACTGAGGTTTCTTCTTGATCAGAAGGGTGCTCACTAGCACCACAGGAAATCTCCTTCCACCTTCCCAAACTGTAATGTCAGGGTTTGCGGTCTAAACAGAAATCATGTGCGTGCATCCCGGCTGGAGTACTGCTGTCAAATGTGTCAATTCCTGTGGGAAAAGCAGTGACGCACGCTCCCAAACAGCAAACAGGCGAGGGTTTTGTTTGGCTTAAAGGTTAGTTGGCTTGATCCAGGAGGTTATTTAGATAAAAGAGGGTAGGTAACAGAGATCAGGTAGGGAATGTGAGAGCGTGTGCCAGAAGAGGAAATGCTGGAATATATGGAAAAAATCCAAGAGCAGCCGGGCCAGTAGGAGCAGATGGTGTGCCCCCAAGAGTCCCAGGTCTTGCTAAGGATGAAGTGATTGAACACAGATTCATTACACCCAGGCTCATTAAAGCCAGCTATTCTGCTGGGCGGTAAGATACAGCGGAGGTTGTACTTATTTAACTTTCCTTAAAGAAGGAATCAAAGAATGAACTCAGGAAGAGCTATTTCAGTTCTGGAAAGTTGGCTAAAGTTAGCACTAAAATTAAAAATGTCAGACACTTCACAGGACGGAGAAGGGCATGACAGGGACAGGACAGTGTGGTTTTTGCACACTGTATAATCATACGTCCCCTGTGTTCTGAAGCTCTTCAACTAGCCATACAGTGTGGTTAAAGGCAGAAACATTAAGATTTTATTTAGACTTGCACGAAGCCTGTAGCAGATCTTTCACCAGGGGCTTTTAAAGTGATTCTTTAAAATGCCTATAATCTCTTGCCTTGAAAGATCTGTGCTAGGATTATTTTTATTTTTCACAATATTTATGGCAAAGGAGGAAGGAGCAGACTAGTCACGCGCCATGCAGTTACACAGACTGTCAGAAATAGAAGAAACTCAACAGCATCAGCTGTATTTATATTTACCCATGTTGATCAGGTTGAAAATGGTGTTCCCTGTGCTTTGGCTCTTAATAAAGGGAAGAAGAACTGAATTTGTGCAAAGGAAAAAAAAAAAAACAAACCTCCTGAAAAAAAATTTTTTTTGAACTCACCGGGGCTGCAAAAATATTGCTGAAGCAGAGGAAATCCCACAGCATCCTTTGTGACACAGATCAATATCGATAACACTTCTTACGAGGAGAGGAGGCAGGCAGAGGTGTGCTAGCCACCGGGAAGAAGGGAGCGGTGACTGCACCTCGGGGCCAGTGGCCGTGAGTAGGTGACAACCACAAGGGCAAGTTGCTCTCTGGGGTTTCTGGCCTTTTCCTTGGAGGAATCGGTTTGATTCTGCTCCCTGAGTGTTTTGGGAAGTCAGTACTCCGCACTGACTGCTGTGCCACAGGCGTTGGCGATGGCTGGTTTGCCCCATCTCATTTTGGGAAGTTTGTGACCCCATTTTGAAGCTGGTCACCTGCTGTGCTCCTGGTCACAGCCTGTGCTCCTGGAGTCCGGGACCCCAAAGTGCACTCGTTATGGGTGCCGAGTACCAGTGGGTTGGTGCCCGCGTGGATTTTAGATAAAACAGTGCTTTATAGAGTCATCGCCCGCTGATCAGCAAAGGAGAGGTACCTCCTTGTGCTTGTTTTACTGTTTGTTGGTATTACTGTGGTCTCTGAAGATTTTATCATAAGGAAGTAGGGAGCAGGATTGGACTCAAGATTTACACTGAAATGCTTATCTCCTTTTATTAGTTCCTGACTGACTTGATTAATTCTCACTTGATTATCTGATGGTATCTTTAATTCCCAGTTATATAAACCTTAATCTTATTTGTGGACTTGTGCTGTCAGCACAAAGATCCAATTTTCTTAAGAAAATGCTTTCTTTCCTCTGCAGGCAAACACACTGCGTTATTCTGATCTCTGAGGATGACAAGTACTAATTGTATGATGCTGGAGCTACACAGATGCTGCATTTTTTAGCTGGGACCCTTTGTCCAGCGTTGTGTGAATAGGGAATGCAGACCAGAATCTTGCTTTTCTTCCACAGGCTTCATGAGTTAATCTGTGTTTATCGTGACTTGTCTCTATAGTTACAACTCTACAGTTTAACTGTATTTTTGTGTTCAAAAAACAGAAGTGCGAATAGATAAAAAAAGCAATTGCTAAGTTGATATTTCTTTGGAAAAAGGCCAGTAATTTTTTTTTATTCCATAAGCATAAATTAGTACCTTCGTGATAGCTGGGGTGGGATTAAGTGTGTGCCTCAGACAGACAGAAAAGAATAAGGACTGTGGCAGTTAAAATAGAAACTTTTTGAATGAGGGAAGTCTAGACTTATTGTTACTTTATAAAAGATAAAATTCACCC